CGGGGGGGGCAAAATTATTGCACCGTCATTTCTACAAGTGTACTCACAATCCTTTCTTTGAATGGCATGTGGCAAGATTGCTGATGGAGGGCTTACTTCTTAGCCAAACTTATAAACTTCGGTTCTAATAAGTCCGCTTTGACAGGCTTCCCTTGTAATACATTTATTGTGTTTATCAGGTGGGTAGCAGCAAATTCTAACTGAAGGAAAAATAGATCAGACAGTGCCACCATGTATTTCGCATAAAGCAGAATGACCACCGAAAAGCACCATGATGTGCGTATTGTTTGCAAATCAGTGACTTGCCATGCGTTTCTTAGCAACACGATAGCTATGGCATTTCTAACTATGCACTCCTTACTCAAACGAACTCGACAATATTTTGCCTTGTTATTCAAAAAGCATAGAAGAGAGCAGAAGGGGCAGAAAGAGTTCCTGCTTCTGTGTACAGAAGGATTGTTCACAGATCTTTTACAGTAAAGTTGACCTGTCTCTTTTTTGTCATATTCTCTGTTTTCAATGCCTTGCGATGCTTTCGTGTCCGCTTAGTTCTGGCAGTACGGCGAATGGGTTGAGGTGTGCGTCGACGACCGGCTGCCAACGGTCAACGGAGAGCTGGTTTTCATGCACTCGGCGGAAGGAAACGAGTTTTGGTCGGCTCTCCTGGAGAAGGCCTATGCGAAACTGTGCGGTTCGTACGAAAATCTGCAGACAGGATCGGCCTCCGAGTCGATGGAGGACTTTACCGGTGGCATCGCCGAAAGGTTCGACCTTCGAGACCCAAAACAAGCGTCGGAGATCACGTTCATGGACATCGTACGAGCCGTTGAAAGTCGATCCTTGTTGTGCTGCTCAATTGATGTATGGTAGCGCTTACCATGTCTTTTATTCTGTTCCAGCGCCTTACGTTTTTTAGGAGGATGAATATCTAAGGCAGAGAGTGCTATTCGTCGGCCTTGTGAAGGGACATGAATACAGTATAACGGCAGTTAAGAGGGTAGGTACGTTTTACGGACGTTTCCCAGATTAATACGGCTCATTTCAGCTGCAGGTTAACATGCCTTGGAGTCTTGGCTCCAAAGTTGTCGAGTTGATTAGACTGAGAAACCCGTGGGGAGAGGAAACGGAATGGAACGGTCCTTGGAGCGACAGGTCAAAGGAATGGAACTGGCTGACCGAGCAACAGAAGAAAGACCTTGACCTCACCTTTGCATCCGACGGTGAATTTTGGTAAGGGCTGAAGAGTCGAACTGTTCAAGTACTGGCATTTATTTAGGATGACTTTTGGGGACTTCAAACGTTACTTCGAGAGACTAGAGATTTGTCACGTTTGTCATTTTAACGACGATAACTCGACTGCTGATCCAGCATCTGTCAGAGGCAAGTGCGACGAACTGTGTGAACGTTGGCGACAGCAGAGCTTCAACGGTTCTTGGATAAAAGGAAAGACGGCCGGTGGATGTGGAAAAGATTTGAGTACTTTTCTTCTCATACTTGTCCGCTGAATGAATGCGAAATTACAGTCGTTCTCGTTATTCATTAAATGCCATATTCTTCGATTTGAATCAAACCATGTGATGCGATGTACCATTGCCTTTGTTTCTAGGATTACTAAGGAAAAACACACATGGTGATTCACGAGATTATTGTTCGATTTTTTGAACTAATCCTCAAAAAAATGAATTTCATGAAAAGATCCAGTGCAGCTGTGTCACAGAAGATAACGTTTATAAACGAGACGAGTAAAGTCGGTCTGTCCTCCACTTTCGTTGGTCATTGTCCTTTCCGGTCGCTGAAGTAACACCGTCATAGAGTTTCTCTAAAGTTTCTGTTCCTGTACAAGCGTATGAGCTTCGGTAGAAGATCTGAGTCTGAATTTCCGTCCTTTTTTACACTTGTCACAGTTTATTTTTGGCCGTCCCCCCATCATCCCCTCCCCGAGATCTACGGTCGGTCGGTTAGGCAAGTAGTAGCTGTTCCGCCTTCGTTTCTGGAAGCATTCGCAATACGTGTCAAAACCATCGCAGCTGTGACTTTCTAATGCGAAAAGCAGCGTCTTTATTTCAAGGTTTTTTCAGATGTATGAACTCTGGACTCTGAAAAGGCGCGTTTCGTGTCGAAAAGCCCTTTTCAGCCGCTTCTGCGCAGGATTACACTTTTTCAGTCGTGCCCTGTGACTCATGACTATTGGCAAGAATGAGTATAAAAATCGACTTGAACACCTCAGAGTTGTCTTCGCACACAGCTCTGGTTTAGTCACAATAGTTTCGGCTAGTTTACACACGATGCCTATGGCCATTCCAATTCGTCTGTCGATCTCTTCCTTTCATTTTTCATCACCGGTGTACACGATCTTCCATTACACCAACCACGAATGTTCCTACATATATATAAAGTAGAGATGGGTGCCAGATATATTTCTACAGAACGTCATTGAAAATGCTCTTCATATACACATCCGAAATGGATTGCTAGGATACACTCAAATAGCATAGCTTAATGGGGGCTTTGCCTTTGTCCATCGCATTTCATCACTTCCGCATTTATTAATTATTCGCTAAAGACCTATACAATAAAAGGGCGTTACAAGCTTTGATCTCCTTCATGCTGAAACGTAATAAACTTCAAAATATGGCATCCTGAATATTTCTTTTCTTGAAGAATTCCTGAAACTTTTAACAGATTATCTTAATCTTGGTGACATGGTAGATTTCACTATGCAGCCGCGCTGGTAAGCGATAAAAAATATTACGAATGCAAACGCAGGAATAAATGTGCTGATTGGGACATTATCCTGATGCCTTTCTACGAGAAGCATACTGAGATCTCCTTCTCATGTATAGACGGCTCACTGTGAAACGGACGGTAGCTATATTTACGTATAAATAAAAAC